GGGCTGGGATACTGCCAGGGCGCCTACACCTAGACAGGAGGACGATTAGGGTCCTCAGTCAAAGCCTTTGGCTCAAAAGCCTAACCGCAAGGCAGCGGTGTTTGGCGGGAAATGCAAATGCATCATCATTTCTACGGAACAAGTCGCCACATGTTCCAACCCCCAACTTGGAGGGCCAGGAGACTGTGTTCGTCAGACCTCTAACCATTGACCAACCTGGTATGAGAGACTCTGTGAGTGTCGCGGGACACTCTCCAGTATAGCTCAATGGATCGCTGAGGTGCGCAAACCGTCACACCACGGTAAGGTCCAGTCTCTTGGGGACGGAAGTAATAGGTCTCTGTTGCAATAATGGTAAATTTAGGTAGGAATCCGAATAGACCCCACTGCGAATATTTGGACCATAGGAAAAGTAAGGTCCAGTCTCTTCGTGACGGAAGTAATAGGTCTCTGTTGCAATAATGGTAAATTTAGGTAGGAATCCGAATAGACCCCACTGCGAATATTTGGACCCATAGGAAAAGTAGGGAACTTCTCTGTCGAGTCAAACTTATCAGCTGATCCTTCGGTATAGATGGTTTTTGTTTTGTTGTCCACCTTTTTCCGGAAGGGAATACTTTCGAGCATAGAGGACCACGACGACCCCCAAGTTGTGAACCACTTGATTAGGTTGATAGTCCTCAGTCAAAAGATACGTATTCTCCTATCGCTCTGACCGTTTCTGTAGGCTTTTTGGAGCCAGTAGAATATAAACTTCAGTTTCGTATATGGTCACCAAAAATCCAAGTTCAGGTTATCTTAATTCAGTTTCGAAACAGCTGAAATTCGTCCGCCTCGACGGCGACGGTCCGTGTCCTTATCTATGCGTAAGCAGTAACCATTATTCGAGATGGCTACACTAAAATTGATGTTTTGAACAGTTTGTCAGTTGGGACATTTTTGCTTCACTCCAACTGTCGCGTGATGCCAAACCAATGTAATGTCTCCAGTTTTCTTCCAGAACCTGATCAACCCATCCCGAACGGCTGGACTCAAGTCTCTGGCAACTTCTGGTGTATCATGGTATTGAATCATTCCCATATTCTGACAAATGGGATCATGTTCCCTGAGGCAAGATTTCACGATGGTCAGATGCGCTTGGTCCTGATCAATGACACCTTGGACCTGTGAGTACTTTGAAGCCCTTTGCAGTCTTCCATGCTATCACTTAATTCTGACATTTTTAAATCGACGGTTATATGGCAAAAGTTCCGGTAATCGGAAGCCTTGTGAATCCTGGTTAGGTGAATTGTTCAAAACGATGGGTTTCGACGCTTAAGTTTGTGCTAAATATCTACATTCATAAAACTGCCGGCATGGCCATCCTACCCTGCGAACTTTGCCGGGCCGTTGCCGCAAGAGGGAAGGCGTTTTCTCAGTTGTTTTGTCTCTTTTCTGGGTTCGTGTTTTCTAATTGACTTTTGAATCCACGGGCCTTGTTGGTGGAATGGAGCGGTCCACCTTAATAACAAATATTCCAATTTGAAAGTTTGAATGACTATTAAAACACGGAGACTGGTAGATATTTGCATTATCTCGTATGTATTGAGGCCAGTAGTCGAAAAAAGTTGTGATTCTTACAAAACAGGGTTAGTCACTTGACCAAATCATACTAGGCATTGTGCAACTATAAAACATGTGCCGTCGGCGGAATGCTCCTTGGCTTCTTGAGTCCAAATCTATTTTGCTAAAACGCTTGATCGACTTGCAGGCGAGAACCAGCGAGCCTCTGTCGTCAGTCTTTCTAACTACAGGGTAGATCCTGAGAACCCGTTATCCAAGAACAAGTCGCCTCCATAGCATCCAAATACTTTGTCTTCCAACGCATCGAACATTAGTTCGCGACACTTTGAAGATGAATCTTTGAATCTGTATATCTGGCACAATGAAAAGTTATCACACTTTATGGCGTCGAATGTTCTCCTCATCTGTGCCACAGGACATTTTCATCCCATTCATTTCTTCACACATTTGGTAGCAATATTCTCCATAGGTCAAGTTTTGGTAATCCGATGTTGAGTGTCTCCAAATTCCAATCACTCTCAGTCAAATGGGTAAACCGAATGGTCTATCAGTTCTCTCATGTGGACGCCTCGGGAGTTGACTAGTTAAGGGACGCCCAGTGACGGCGTGTTTTTACGTAGCACTCGGTAAGCACCCAACGGGACGGACGAGAGCCACCAGTGATGTAGACAACTTTCGCTGTTGGAGGTTAAATCACAGTCCAACCCATAGAAACTCCTGGATTCTTCTGGTGATTTCTGTTATTCTTACCCTACACCCTCTTTCTTTGTGAAGACGTAGAGAGCAGCCAGGTCGCATCCGTGTCTCTCGATTTAACGATCTTATGCTTCTAAAGGGAGCTAAAGAGATTAAGCGGAACCATCGTGGTAGAGATCAGCAATGTGGATGGGCGTACTCCACCACAGAGCAAGCCAGTTAGCTTTGCCGTGGAGTTATTTCCAGTATAGGTTCCTGAAGAAGCTTTTCGTGACCCATTTTTGGAACACAAAAGGCTCTCCTAGACGCTTCTAGCACTCGTCTCACCACAACAGCCTAGAGTTCACTGTGCATACTCGGGTATTCAAGTTGGTATTGATGCATTTATTGTTCTGCTGGCTCGTGTGAATCGATGGCCTCTCCGATGTGACCAGCGGTGTCTACTACATAACAGGGTCACAGTTCTGTCAGTCCGATGCAGATGTATGGATTAATAAAAGGAATCTCTGAGGCTTGACGTAACCTTTGTCCACGGCTAACCGAGGCTGAAACCAAGTCAACCAGCTACCGAGGACTGTATTCGGCCCCGGACGGGAACGTCCAAAGTTTAGCATCCTCATTCTGCGTCTGAGGTGTGGTTTGAACGTCAAAACTAATCCTTTTCCCTCACAAATCAGTAGCAACCCCGGTGTTTCAGGTGTGTACAAACCATAGGCTCGCGGAACGTGAGGGACCAACCTGACAACTGCATTGTTGGTTCCTCGAGTTGTAATGTCTTAGTTGTAACGAAACTCAGAATATACGGAAAAGGTATGAATCTATTCGAAGAAGGGAAAATTAACGAAATACACTCATCTGCTTACTAATTTGTTTATGAACAGAGACTCACCTGGAACCCACTTGAAAACACCATAAACGAGACTTTCAGCTGTGTTCCGTTTGAGTCTTCTGTTAAAACCAAGAAGGGTGAAACTGGTTGAGACTGTCGAAGAGTAGTGTATTTTTTCTTGGAAAAAAGTCCCTTCAGTAGATTGATCAGCCGAAATCTTTGGCTTGCTTCGGGTGGAAAACTCAGAGATGAGTAATTTGCGAAATAACTAGAATGCTATGAATCGAATTATTACGTTAGTTTATTAATTAAAGGAGCTACCTCATTGTTCGCGTCGTCCACAGAATATACCAGGTTGAACGTCAAACCTTTTAACTACCGTAGTGGCTTGTCCTTAGTTGATCGAATGTTACTTCTTAGTCTTTAAGTTAGATTCGCCAGACTTTGTTAACGCGAGGACGAATGTAGGCGGCCGTTACAATTGATTAGGTTCTTCTCGATGATTGGGCTCAAGACGATAGCTATTGGTGTTGCCTTTTCCGTAGTGTTGAGATTCTTTTGGATAAGGCTGAGTGATCGAAAAGCACGGAAACTGTGATCGTCCTTTAATGACTTCCTTTTCAGTACAGTGACTATGGTTTGCCTTTGGCTGTGTTCAAGTTGGTGGTATTTTGCACTGGCCAGGTAGATGTGCCAGTAGTATGCATCTGACAAACACGATTTCCTTCCAAGGTTGTTATTGCTCTTCAGGTTTTTTCTTCACCGACGAACAGTGGGTACTTCGCAGTGGATGTGGAAGTAATGTAGATAAGGAGTAATTAAGGGCCATCTGGTAACGATTCATCACAGTCGTAGATCCGAGGATTTGACACGAGAATTCAATGATCCACATTGTCGAAGACCCCTTAGAAGTATACCTATCTTATGTAGAATTCTCCTAGGATCTATTTTTCAGTAGCCCTTCCCGGGTGTCCATAGGCTGGCTAAGCATACATGCTGGTGAACACCGCAGTGTTTCGTTTCGTTCTTCAACATAGAGCATAACTTCGCCACATGTTGGGGAGCACTTTTGTGAATGCTATCACCGGCCTAAGCAAATTTCAGGATGCATAGGTTTTAATGATATGGAAGGATAGCAAATGCTGGGCTAACCTCATCCGCTTCGTTTTGCCCCTAAAGTTTTAGTCCTCACTCAGAGAGATTTGCGTGTCCTGACAGCTGACGCTAGCGTTAACGTTTGGTATCTCCTGTGTCATTAAATTAAACGATTAAATATGCCTTGAACCTACTAATGCAGTAGCGTTCGATTTGTAGTCTCTGGTAAATCTCTGTTTTTTTTTCAGTATTACCGCCGCCTTTCCGCTTATTTGCCGTGGCAGTGATAAAACCTTGCGATTGCCACACTTCTTGCTGCAATATGTAACAACTTCTCTCGCTTCTTGCTTGCAGCTGCTATTTTACTGCCCGATTCCACCCGCGACACGTGTTAATGGTATTTGTTAACGTTACCGTTTTACTTACTGTTGTTTTATTGTTCCGCCTCATTTTTGTTTGCTGGCATTATTGTCTTCATACCAAAGCTCTGTAACAGCTCGTCCGACTAAACGTTTACAGTTATGTTATGCACATCAGTGAGCCAGTCTTAGGCACTACCGTTCGTAAATTACCTGATCGACGATTGAGACTTCTTCAGTGGTTTATGAAAGCTTATTCGATTGTCAGAATAGAAAGTTCCAGCCGAACTCTTCCAACACTGAGCAGCTAGCTAAAGGCTGTGGCATTGCGACAGTGATGAAACCGACGCTTTCGTAACCAATATCATAGGTGAATTTCAAACGCACATGCGTGCAATCAGCGAACTATCTGTTTACTTTATGATCACACCGCACATCACGCACACTATGTGTGTGCGTTCTGCTCCGAGCAATTTATTATCTCCTTAACCGGAACCCAATGGCACACTTTTTGTTTCCAGTATAGAAATATGTTCTACCTACTGATGGATACTCAGTAAACAGATTGGCTTTTATTTACCAGTATGGTCAGCGGCCACGGCTAGTGGAGTCAAACAGAAGCTAGGTCACTTCATGAAGTACGAATTATGGATAGTGAAGTTTTACGAGCTAGATTTATTCCTATTCAGGAAGTACTTAGTATTTATGTCTGCAGACAAATCTCTGTACATCAAAATGCTGTGTATGGCACTGAGTTTCGCTTGGCCGGATAGTCGCATGTTGGTCTTGCGTGACCGACTGAATTCCGACTGATTTCATCGGTCCTGACCTTCGATATTGATTATTGACTTATTATTAACTTTATGATGTCTAGGCGTGCTCGAAACACTTGGGATGAATTTTACTGATGATTCCCAAAACGACTGATCTTGCTGAATTTCTGTACCCGATGGATTCCTTTATTGGGCACGGAACGGACAAGTGTGTTCATCACGTATTTCAATGTTCCCACCAAGAAAAGATGCACTAATTTTCATTACTATACTAATGGCTAAGTTATTTGTTTGAAGATGAGTTTTAAACCAAACAGTGAAAAGAAGAATCAATCCTTTATGTCTGCCTCCCTTAGGTCTACTACCTAATTTTGTACTATTCTAATCCATTTACGATGTGTCCAAACTGTAACAATAGTAAAACATTTGAGGCTTTGTCCGAAAACTCAAAAATTGAGCCGAATATTCATCAGTGACATTACTGAGGTCAGCCAGCGGTCAATTCTTTGAGGATCTCCGAACAAGTACAAAAAAGGGACACGTAGAAGTAAAACAGCATAAACTGTTCCCGGACCTTTCTTCCCAGCCTACACTCGCTTCTTCTATCTTATTTTGCCCCTGTCTCGGTTGTCGCCACTTCTAATCAGGTACGAATAGCGTAAACGAGAAAAGCCGGCTTGTGTAGAGCAGGACTGAGCTATTCCTCAAGTGAAGCAGTCGTCGCTTTACCGAACGCCCGTTCACTGATCTTCTCAATTCGATTAAGTTTATTCCAACTATAGTTTCAAGATATCCATGATCAGACATTCATCCTCAGCGGCGAAATATCCCAGGCGTACAACATTGCAGCCCTCACTGTAGTCCGATCCACTTTAAGCCCCCTTGGTACTCTTTTTCGACCCGAAGGGATAAACGCAGTTGTGGTCTTCGCGGTTCGTGTGTTCGTTTTGTGCGCCACACTACGGTCAGAGTTAACACAACTTTCGAGATACGTACACTGTTCTACCTCCGAAACCATTGGAGGTTTCAAGTTTACTGTTCAAGACTCCGTTGATCGTCACGGGTGATTGAAGATAGCCAGTTAAACTGTTAAAAGTGTGTACCCCAAGGACCCACGCATTCTTCCAACTTTAGAAGCGAGCAGGTCGTTTTTTCCCTGCCATAGGCCTTTTCGGCCTGTTGTACGTATCAATTGGAAGAGTTTTCGCACGTTACAAAAGTTTCTCATTTCCTCCATCCCTTGAGCTCGCTGAAGACGCCAAGCTCGCTATCAGCGCGATTACTGTTTTCACCTGGCGCATGAAATTTCATCGACTTACATTGTGTTCACCTGCAGGAATACGCATCCGAACCTCGAGCAAGCTCAGAATCTCGTTCAGGATCCAGTGCATCGTTGTCATCATCTTGGATGGTTGGGATTCTCCTTAGTAATAGTCGACATCTGACGATGGATTAGCTGAAAAGGACTTCAGTAGGTGGCTTTGATAATAGGGTCTGAGAGCTTTGCAATAGACAGCAACTTGAATGTTCCCGAAAAATGCCACAAGAAGCAAAAACCGACGAGCATGTGATCAAAATCCACATAATTGTTCCAGAACGACCGGTAATCCGTAACTGTCCCATGCCTTCTGCAGCCAGTTGCATTGTATTCTGCATTCGATTGCATGTGCGGGACACCAACTGGCTGACTGCTCCTCGCTTCCTTCGGATGTCAGTGTAAAATAGCAGGTTTGCGGTCAGCACACAACTGGGTCAGTATGACTCCACGCATAATGTAGCGACAAAATTTATCAATCGAAATAGGAATAACCAATAAAGTTCGAAGACTTGTGTGAATAGCTGGGAAATCTGTAATCCACCTCCCACCTGCAAAACAGGTTCGCGAATTGAGCCTCATGTTATGCATGATTATTAATCTGTGCTGTCTGCTCCGTAAGGAGCACATCCGTCAGATATAAATCTTGCATAAGAACGACCAGGTTGTTATTCTTCCACCTGAAAAGGGATTCGGGGTTTTTCCAATCAAACTCACCGATCATGCGACCAATTCTGTCAGAAATATGCTACTTCGTGGTTGTTCGATAACAAATGGTCACCAATCACAAACAGGATTGGCTTGCCACGATCCGTTTCCTCATCATCCAGAACAACAAAACTAATGCTGACACCGATGCTTCGCTGTCGTACAAATGCAGATTTTATTCGTTTGTAATCAAAGTCTTAAAGTGGAATGAAGAGAGAATGGTGGTTTACGGAGGGACCTGGTGCTCGCCTATCAAAAGCACTCAGTTGCCTACATCTCTAGTCAGACAACCTGAAAAGAACTGACAGCACCGTACAAATGCAGATTTTATTCGTTTGTAATCAAAGTCTTAAAGTGGAATGAAGAGAGAATGGTGGTTTACGGAGGGACCTGGTGCTCGCCTATCAAAAGCACTCAGTTGCCTACATCTCTAGTCAGACAACCTGAAAAGAAACTGACAGCACAAACATCCATTAACCGCCATTTATTGCAATGTTTCCGGCCAAGTTAAGGGTTAGTCACGGGGCCACCAACATGGAAGATGTACGCATCAGCAACACGTAGACTCTTCCTAATTACTTCCACAACTTTCTGCCAATTCACACGTTGTCCAACTCGCAGTGTGCTTCATTCTGAAGGAGGCAGGAGAGCAACAATTGTCTTGGTAGACGGTTTTTTGAATGCGCAACACATGGTTGAGCAATGTATGCTTGATGGATGTGACTGACACAACCTTTTTAAAAGGGATGGATCGAATCGGACTTATGGTCAAAAGTACAATGTATCATCTATCACATGTTTACTGTTGGCACAAAACTTATGGCGCTTGAATGTCTCTGCACAGGCTACTGTCCATACCTCGATCTCCACATCACAAGCTTCATCCATGGCTCGTCAAACCGTAAAGTCATGAACATGCTATCGGTACCAAAATAGCTTGAAATTATGACTTTCAGAAAGTGCAATGGAATCCACAACAAACGGCCAACTTTTTGACTCTGAATCATTATGCTGATGTTCCTTCCAAAGAAATTACTAACACTGCTTTTGGTTTTGCTACCGAAGGTAAAATTTCGTCAGGACTCTTTGGAAGATGTATGTGCGCCTCTCTGAGTTTGGAAAGTATAGTTTTTGTCCAGTGAAATTTCCCAAAGACACGTGAATGTCGTTTCAATGAAGAGTTGTCACAAGTCATCTCGGGCACATTGTCAGCAATCCCGTAGGAACTGTCAGTCTGCGCTTCAGTTTCACTGTTTATAATCTATACCGTTCCTGGAATCGGTTCCCCTGGAAAGCACCGTACTAGCTCATCGTCGCTCAGTTCCATTGGTAAATTTCGATGGCACATGGAAATCGGAAAACATCACGAAACTCAGGTTTGGGATACCTCGGGTTGACTAAAGCAGCACCGCATCATAATCTCCAATGGTGATCATTTGGTTGCGTATCACGCGTCCACAGTCACGTTTTTACGACCACCAATTTTGTTGTTTTTGCTCATTTATCCATTCCTTACTTGAATAGCGTAGTTATCTAATCACTGTCAACACAAATACTCCCCCAAAACTTATCCCTCTCTCGCTTTGCCTCATCCCAACGTCTCTACAGCCGGGGGCACATCCAGTTGGTCAGGGATATGAATAGTGATCGAGGTCTGGTTGATACGACCTACATGAAAATCATTCCCGTTCTGGCAGTCCGTGTTCTGCCTGCAAAATCGTCAATGACATATACTCTTTTGGATGGTGAACCTATCTGCTGTCAAGCCTTTCAAGCCGAAGTGCAGAACGCGCGATTCCAAATCCTCACGTGCGCTGATACCGAGTTGGGCTCAGCAAAAACCGATTTCTAAACAGGACACGTTTTCTCGTTTTTTCTACATCTTTTTTACTTATGTTAATGACCTCCATACACCACATCACCGTTTTCGAGGCAGTTTCTTGTTTCTATTGCTAGTTCACAGGTAGGACAAAACGAACTAATCGGTGATACCTCACGAAAGAACGCACTCGCGACCGTTCAAGTAGCTTCCCTTATCCCTTACTCTTTCTCTCTCCAGAGATGCTCGTCTGTTATGAGAGCACGTAAATCGCGGGCAAAACAAAACGGCAATTAAGAAGTCGTTCTAATATCCCTGAATTAGCGAACAAAAGTAGTCTTACTGGTTCCTTCGGATTGCTGAGGCAAAACGAAAATGGACGTAAGACTGGCCAGATCCACCCGGGGGAATATGTAAAAGATCTAGTAGGGATGTGAAATGATAACTTTGAGTGGAATAAGATTTCTCTATCTGAGACATCAATTTCGAAACGCAGTGATAAAACGTCTGATAATGCAGAAGTAAGTGAACAGCCCAGAAGTGCTGCAGTGCGATCTGCTTCCGGGTGCCAGGTGCGACATTTCAGACAACAGAGGAGAATGTGCGCAAACCGCTCATTCGTTCTGGTGAACTGAAGGTTGGAGAGGGTCGTGTTATTGGTACAGACGTACAGACAGAGAGGTGTGGTCCGATAGATACCCGCAACTCATCGATTTGTCATTCGACTTCTGAGCCTCCCATGGTGAAATTGGATTGCGTAAAGATGGTCACCCGGCCAGTTAACTCGAGCTACACCCTGTCGATGAACTGCATTGTGGTCAAACTCCGCTAAGGTCAGAAGTTGCCGCAGACTAGTGTTTTTCAAACAGAGCTGTCTTAGTGCCTGATGAGGTGGCTCTTCAAATATCTGAGCTTCAAGAGCAACATTCAGTAGAAGGTCATTCAAACGCACCCCAGAAACAAGAATCTCGACTCCTTCAGTCTCAATCCTCCATTGCAATGGGATTTCAGCCACGATATATCGGGTTTTGCATCGCCAACAAACCCTAATCTAGTGCTTCCAGGGGGTGCATAGTCCGTTTGGTTTGATGTTTCTTTTGAGTCCTTTGTAACTCGAGGAACTGCTAACGGCCTATGGCGCTAAGTCGAGCTTAGACGTACCAACAAATCGACCTCATCTCAAAGCACAAACACCGATTGATTTATCATCGTTACCCGGCAATGATCATCATCCGTTTATGTGGCTCCGTAACTCCAGCGGTGGCTGGCGTTACCGTAACTCCACCTCAATATGGCTTACCAATGGCCTGGATAGTCACTCTTCCGAACGACCTCGGACCAACCTGCTGTCACTCATATCCTCAAGCGACATACAAGATGGTCAGGAAGGACTCCGCCGGTGCCACAAATGCAACTGAAGAGCCCAAGACCACTCAGAGGTTCCTGTCGCCTCAGTTTCTTGGTTCTCTGGGGCCGTGCTATCTGAGATCACGTTGTTCTGCTATCTGAAGTGGAGGGTTGTCAAATGATATATCAATATTTCGTGGTCGCCAGACAGTCTTCTATGAGTTGCATTAATTTGTAGCCCCAGAGATTTAGGATCATTTATGCAATCAATAGCTCCAGTCACCTCAACATCACCCACTGTCTGCTAGTTCATCTTCAGCTGCCCAGAACGATCTTCCCGAGCATCCTGGATAGGCGCATTCTCCTGTGGAGGTGTCTTGTCCGTATTCATATATCTTTCGTCTTATGGTGGACTAAGTGGTTCAGTACAAAAGTTCGCGCTCTTCCCAATCCAGCCCCCCCCCCCTATGTATCGAGACCGGTGAACCCCAACATGGGACTGTAGTCTGTATTTCTAGGGCGATTCCTTGATAAAATCTTTAATTGTGGACAGGTTGATTTTCGTGCTTTGACTCCCCCGCCACCTTCTCCGTGTTCTTTCACTAATCACTGCATTTAGATTGCACTCAGGTTAAATATTTTGGGCTAGTCTGTCATTCACTTGCTACCGGTGACTTTCATCCCTTTCATACCCAACATGATGAGCAACAGCAATTAGGGGATAAAAGGTGGTCTGATCTGCCGGATAATGGGCATGATGAACAGTAACATACCCTTTGCTGTGCAAGTCACTCGATTAATGATGGCACGTCCGTCACACGGTGGATAATCATGGGAACCGAGTGACGTCTTAGGTTACTGTATCCGTATATTCCTTACAGGGTTTTCTACACCACAAATTGCGTCCCTAGGACCCTAAACCCAATTGCTGTCGCGCACCAATCATCGTAAAACTACGGTCGTACCACAGTTTCTGGCGCTTGCGATACAGTTATCATCAGGTGTGAGTAAATTATGTGACGTTGGGTGAGAGTGGTCGCTAAAATAGGGGTGTGTCAAGCTTTGGTGTTGATTTTGGATTTACTTGGCAAGCTGACATCATCCAGACAGTTCTGACACGGTACTAACTAATAGGTTCATGTAAACAATGTCGTGCATGATAAAGCAATAAAGTCTATCTTGCGGTCGTGGTTATGACATTAGGCGGACATTTTGATAAATAAAATCAACTTCTAACCGCTTGCGAATACCCAGTAATAGTTTCTCCAAGAGTAGCAACTTCCCAGTTAAAATCACTTTACTCCGGTTCCGTGAGGTTAGAATTGAAATTAACACCTCGTAAAAGCCCACACTCCCCCCTCCAAAGAAAACCGCTCTCAAAATCTTTGCGGCGAAAAATGCTATGACCAGGATGCGAACGCTTCGAATTGGGCTCCCATGTCTTGACACCCATTAGGTGCTTAAACACTGACCCAACTAAGACATCTTTCCCCTTATTGTTCATAAGATAATTTTCGTCTGCGCGGTGCACTACCAAAATACCCCTCTATGAAGCCCTCTTTCATAATGAATCGCTTAATATCGGTCGCTTATGAATGTCCCCTATAAAGGCATAACTGTCTAGATCGATCACCGTTGGGTCTTTTCAGGTGATCTTCATAGCTGGAACAAGTTTACCTCACTTATTTTTCTATGATGCTAACTTGAACTTGTGGATCAGAAGTGGTCTCTTCTAGAGGTGACTCCTAGAGGGACGAATGCTCACTTACTGTCCCTCTCTCTCTCTGTCGATAAACTACTTCAAAGGATAGACCAGTGACAATCTCTTCTGCCATCTGATCTTCTCTGGAAGGGTGTTGGGTACTGAAACAACTTTGTAGGCCAAACAGCGTAGGTTTATTAAGGTTGCTCCATCGTGAAAGTGGGTAGGTAAACATTCAATACCATCCGGCTTAACATAGCTCTAGAAGGCCTCCATACTAATGTTCCCCAATAAACTGAATGCCCAAAGCGAGGAAGAAGTAAGATCTCACAAACATGCGGATTCTGGTGCAATTCCGGTTAGTGCCGAACGTTTCCTTCGAAGCCAGTGTTGAAATGCATTTGTTACAAAGGATTGTAACAAGTTTTAACCCTTTGTGTACATTGTATCTTCATCTTATGCTGGTAAGTACTATGGTTAACACCAGCCGGACCGTTCCTTGTGAATGGTCTTTATTTAGTCAAATTAAAGACAGAACGCTGCCCAACAACCACCGCATTTTCGTCAAAGAACTGTAAAAGGCAGTATGTCGTCTCAACAGTAAGCTCCCATGTAGAGACCCTTCAACTATAATATTTTCTAGTATCCTCCCGATATATTATTTACTGTGGGCCGGTTGTATGCTGACTGTTTGCAAAACATCCAGAAGACCATTCAATCAACTTCAATTTTGGCAAGTTATGGAGGGAACTTTCATGGATTATGTATTATTTGTACATCTGTTAAGTTGCACGACCTAGGTTGTACACTCACCTCACTTTACCAACGAGTTTATTGTCGCACACCAAACCGCATAAGCTCGCTTGCTTTGCCGCATCATGCTGGTAGAACAGCATCCAATAGAACAAGTTGTCAGAATGAAAAGCCAACTAAGAGCATGCCTGAATGAACTTTGTACCCTAAATCGGTCTTTTGTTCTCATCGCCCAAGTCTGGAAGAGTGGCTGGTTTTAAACTACCTAACAGATACGGGTGTCCTCGGTGTATCCAATTTTCAACGTCTCAGTCCATCAACTAGAAATGCGGGTCATGGCGTACGTTGTGGACCAACTCCTCGAGTTTAAAAATCAGAACACCAGGTATGCTTCGTTCGTCCTCCTCCACTAGCTAGTCCCACCATGGTCGTTGAAACTCAACCAGTTCGGGTACAATATCGAGATTGGAATGACGGACTATGCGCGTGTACAAACGATGCGAAAATATGTAAGTGTTCTTGGAGTTTTACTGAAGGAAATTCGCAAGATAGTAGGTAAACTTACGTTGTTTTTAAATGTATTAAAATATAAAACACATACATCGCACAAAGGACACTTTGTGATTGTTATTTTAAGAATTACCCGAAACCTCACTAACTACTCCAACAATCAGAGTTCATCACTAGTTAGCACAAGCGCTACACGGATCACTAATCGTGAAGTTTAACAGCTTTCGCGTGAATCCCCTCGAACACTTCTCTTCAACCACAAATGCGTTGGGTTCCGGTTAAGCCTGATTTTCAAGGTATCGAAGTGTTCTTAAACGTGGCTTAAATGCAGTTGAAAGAATCTGCAGTGGTCCCTGGAAGGCATCCAAATTCCGTCTCCAATCCCTAAAGCAGTTCAACACCGCAAACTTCTCTGCTAAGTGATCGGGATGGAAAACCCCTAAACTGTTTTTTTCAGTGCTAGATAAGTACATTACAGACTGTTCTGCTTAAAAGATCGCTTAGGGATACAAACCATATGCCCACTGCATACCAGTTAAGTAAATGTATCCTCTGGGAATACTTGCTGATGAGACCGGTGTGATCACTTTCGAAGGATCCCGGGTGACCATAAGAGCTTAGATTCTTGAGCTTCCACTATCCAAGAGTTTTTGGAAAAATGTCACTCCTGTGGTACCTCCGTCCCTTGCTGTGCCCATGATGCCGACCTACCCCAGTAGTCTTATTTATTTCGGGCTAGTGTGTTTTTTGGTGTGTGCCGCAACACTTCTTGGTCATTTCTGTATCAGCGTCTGACGATCTGTGTGGGCGCTCAACCGTTTGTTGACTAGATCCGCGGAATTCGGTGGGATGCCTTTCTCCTTACGTTTATGAAGTGTATTCTTATATCCTGTATATTGTAAGTAGTTTGCACTGAAATTCATTTTGCCCTCAACGGTCGCTAAAGGATTGTACAAAACGATAACCAATCTCCCTGGATGATTCTACATATCCCCATGAAAGTGGTATCTTTGGCGATGCTTCAGGCCGGTTAGACAGAAAAATTATCAGTTTATGTTCACTCTTACTTGTCTCATAGTTTTCTTATTATGTAGAGGTACGTCTGGATCTTTTGTCTGAATTCGCCCAGCTCATAGCAGAAGAATTTACACACCTCCGCCCTTGGAAGTGCATTTTGCGGTATGGCTTTCGGAACTGGCGTTAGTTCGACAAATAGTGCAGCCTAGTTGGAAGTCCGAAAATTGAAAAAAATATACCCGTCAATAAAAATGTAAATGAGGGTTAATCAGCTTAGTTGTTTCTTCCTGGTGCACGTAATGTTTTTCTACGGTTTTGCTTGACTAAATGTAAGAAGTTTGTCTCCGATAGAACGAAGGCGTCACAGCCAGGTCAGCAGCCAAACCTGGAATGTAAAACAGATTCTTTAGACTTATTGGAGATTCGTTTGGTTTCATCCTAGTACAATGCTTGATTGATTAATAGCTGGATAAACTGTACAGGCTAAGCTGAAGATGTTGCCGGAGAGAGTCAATGTATGAATAGCTTCTAGAGCGAGTGATACTCCCTGGCCTCTTGGATCGAAGAAGAAGGTTTGGTTCGGGTTTCCTACCCTGAGTGTGTGAACCGAAGGTCCCACCTAGAAGATAGTGGAAGAATTAAGTTTTCTCGGTTTTCTCTCCCCAAGCCTGTAAAAATAAAGAACCGAACCTCGTAGTGCTGGTGACGGTTTTCTTGGGAGACCCCTTCTGGAGTTTGGCTTAATTTGCTTAATTTGGCTTAATTGGCTGCATAAGAGTGGCCTGATCCGAGGGCCTGGAGAGTAAGATATAGATGTCTGACTGTTGATGCCATTGCATAAATCGGATGCATCTGGTGCCGCGTCGGGCTCATGGTAAATTTTGTCTTTCAACAGTACTGGATGAATCCCTGATAGTAACTGTCGGTTATTGAATGGTCGAAATGTGGAATAGGTTTAAGTTTTCCTAACTTGTGCTTTCCCCAGACGGTGGCCTCGTAAGTATAAGACTGATTACCGCCCGGCACTCCAGTGTTCTCATACTGTCATCATGATGAACAGTAAGACCTTAACTCTACTTCCGGTCAATAAAATTTTTCACAGTAGGAAGACTCGCTGTCTTTACCAACCTGCTCCTTGTTAACGTTTTTAACAAGGCTAGGCTTCAAGAGCCTCAAGCTCATCCCGTGTCATTGTGACACCCAAACCGTACTATCCCATCTAGGTGACGGTTTTAGAACCAGAGCAGCGGATCTCACAGGAAATACCGCTCTCAAAGGACCACTTCTAACAGTGATTATGACAACTACCAAAAAGATCTCTTCAAAGGAGCCAGTTTTTGGGATGTGAGTGAAAGGATGAGTGAAAAAGAAACGTAAACGTCAGATTTTTTCGAACAGGACAGCTGTATGAAGTTTAACTTTTCAAAGTTTTGATTATCCGTATTGGGCCTCGTCAGGCTACATAGCAGTGAGACTGAATCTCAGGAGGATGTACTGTATTACTAAGAGCATATAATGTTATTTTCATCGTCGTCAGAGTTATCACAATGGTTATAGTCGCTGTCGGTGTATGGTTTGGCTACGAAGTGTGAAGAATACATTGGTACAGAGCCAGAGCAACCAACATAATTCGTTTAATAAAAAAATGCATCGTGGACACAGAAAGCAGTCAGTCGTACACATAAAACTAACAGTGCTTGCAAGCTAAGTTTGGACAATATGTTACAAACTCTCACAAACTCGACGTGATAAAACCTTGATATTAGAGAGATGGATTTGATATTCAAGTGATCTTTTATGAAAACCCACACATGTTTCGAACATATTTACAACTACCCAACCCGTTACCGCCATTGGACTGCAGGAAATTCGGCCGTTCATTGTCCAGAAACAGAGACACGTGCTTCCATACCTAATAAAAACAGATTGTTCGGTCTATCACGTGTTACTAAAAATTGATACATGAGAATCTGTTACCCGTATGATCCCCATATCTCAGTCAATTTATAGGATTATTTCCGCTGAAGTTTTCGCCGCTCAGACCACAAAAATTCTCAACGTTTTATTTAGGATAGAGTGACCAGCGCCTTTGGATGTTTTACAGGTTTGCAGCGATACCCCTCTGGTTAGGTTCGACAGTTCTTGTTGTATTTTTTATCCTTGCTGTATTTGTGTCTTGTAGCACCATACTGCATCATATTGAGCTATATTGTAGGTGTTATTGCATTGTGTTCTGTTCTATTATTCTGCTCTGTATCACGTTTCACTTCCTGTACTAACATCGGATCGTTCTTTCGTCGAACGTACAGGTTGCATAACAAGCTTATCTCATGCTTCATTTTCATTTTCTTGACTCAGAAATGGTTTGGATATTTATTCGTTCAATAGTTTTCACAAGGCTTCTTTCTACCCACATGTCACTTGATTATATGTCTCAAAGAACCTGCAAAAGGATATTATCTCTTTACCATGAAATTGCTCATCGAGATCTAGTGTTCCCAGACCCACCGCTGAAGAATGTTCAGTAAGTTATATCAACGGAGGTGAAAACTATAAACTAAACCATAAATTTCGCTCTTGTGTTACGGCCAAAATTAACTCCGACACGTGATCCCACCTACATAAGGATGCGATTTGTTTTTCTGGCCAATACGAGTTTCGGTTCAGCGGTAAAAAGTTCAACCAGCGTTCATAACAGACTAGGGTGTGTGTTTGTCTTTACTGCTTCTGACAGTACCACAGGCTTGATACCTTCATTTGCATTTTGCGACACTCACGTTAGATGTCTGTTGCCGTTGTTTATTTGGCAGGTTGGTGTACACTCTGTTGCTACTGGTGTCGGCTATGCTATATCTCACAAAAGTTTGGTGACCCTTTTTGTCTGCCAGTTATTATGCCCTTTGTTGGATTCGCCTTTGGTCTGCTTCATCGTGGACGGCAGCGTATCAACGTAAGTTGAACAGCTTCCCTATATGAATGATAAAAATCCAATTGATAGGAATATCGCAATATTGCTAAGAAAGAGGTGCTATGATGAAGTTGATTAGCGTAACACAGCTGCTCAAAGGACCATTTAGGAATGCTTCAGCTATTGGTACATTCAACCGAACCATTGAGCCGAAACGAGGTAAAGACGGTTTTCAAGAAAGAACGCATCCACCGTCCCGAAACGAAGTGGTATGGCGAACCAATATGAATGCATTTTTGGTTCACTTACAAGTACACGTGAAAGAGGAGATGTCAAAGATGAGAGCACAAGTTGAACGAATTTGCAACCAGCGATGGCAAATTCAGGAAAGCCTATTCTTGGAACGCCATGTGTGATCTGTTCGTGGTAGGCTAACACGCACATTCATGAGCCATTTTGAAGCGTACAGCACAACACCGTCATTAGGAATCAAATTGAAATTCTCCGAGGGACCCAGCGCTATTAAACTGGCAGACGTTAACAACGGTAGGTCTACACCAGAGACAGTTGTTAACGCGCCTGTGGGTAAGCAGATTACGTCAAAAGTCAGCCTGATGATGAGGTATACGTTGAAATCCTGCTGCGATAAGCCATAAGCACTAAGGTTATCACCCTAAGAACCGTGAAACAGAAGTAGCTAGAAGGTGCGCTACAAGCAACGTAAAAGTGATTCGCGCGACATCTGCAGTTAATGATTTATGTCTTGTAACATTTCACTCACGCAGACTTTATTGTCTGTATTCCCTGATAACTCACTACAGAAACGATGACTCCCAGCACAAAACCGGCTGTCTTGTGACTTTTGAGAAAGGCCTTAAACCTGTTTTGTCTTCAAAAAATGTTGCCTAAATGGGAAGGGGAAAGTGGTAAAGACATGTTAGGCTATTCATATTGGAAAAGCATCTTCGGCCACCCACGATCGGTTTCGCCGTTCTTTGGGCTCTTGAGGTAGGAGCGGTCCGCAAGTTCCCGTCAACCTAATGTTCTGCTTGCACAATATTCGCGAAATACACTCATTTGCACACCAAATTGACTTTCAGGAAACACTCAACTGAATCCAAGCTGAAGAATATCATAAACCAAACTGGTATGCAAATGATCGTATTTGTCGAATTCCGTGCAATCTTAGTTCGACTATAACATGAGGTTGACGGAAATCCACTGAGATATATCGGGATGTGTCTGTGCGACACTCACACAGTCTCTCATACCAATTGGTCAATGGTTATAGGTCTGGCGAACACAGCCCTCTGGCCCTCCAGGTTGAAGGCTGGAACGTGTGGCAACTTGTTCTGTGGAAATTGAAATGCACTTACATTTCTCGCGAAACCTCGCTGTCTTCCGGACAGGTTGTTGAGCCAAGGGTTTTGGTTCAGAACCCTGGTCATCCTCCAGCATGGTGTGGGCTCCTTGACACTGTCCAAGCCAACATACAACCATGAATTGCACACTTATACGACAGCGACGTGTCTATGAAACGTTGACATCATGCTCTCCGTGATAAAGATGATGACGAAATATCGCATTTTGATGAGTCCTTTCTGCTCGATCCTAAATGACTGGCTTATACTTTCCATCGATTCATCATTCATCCAAACCAAAGCCGTTCGGTGTTATACCTTTTTCGCTGTTTGCATAAGATTCTCAATGTTGATCATGAGAAGCCTAGTCTGTTTTGTTGAATTTTGAATTCCATAGAGCCTACTGTTGCAAGTCAACTGAACTCACTTAGGTTTATTAAGAACAGGTGAGTTTGTTTTACAAATTTCATCAGGAGCTATTCACAGGTTCACGGGCATCAAAATCATTTTGAAGCCGAGCGCAACAACGGAGTAGTAAATACCAAATGATGTCAGTTTCGCCATAGTGGCTGTGAGTTATAACTTAAATGCATGCTATCAGCTCAGGTTGTGTAGAAGGTTTTTGGATCATTCGCCCAGCATTCCCAACATTCGAATTAGTGCCTTCTGCGATGGGTACCGGGTGCTTCATCAACTTTGAAAAATGTCACACTGACGCGAAAAAGTCCTCTAACTGACCACTGAGGAAGCCACAGATCACTCAGGTTGCAGTGAGGCTGTGACATCTTATCCTCATGCCTAATTAAGTATGGCGGCTTTCCATTTGATAGGCCGCAGTGATCAACCCTAGATCCATTGCAACGAAACTCACTTGGACAGCACGCACATGCTAGTGAGCCAAGACAGCATACATAAATGCCATTCTCTCCAGGTGCATGGTTGGAAAGACGGACGCCAGAGCCTGTGTGCGCTTAGCAGTTTGGTTTATTGAAGCACCGAACTAGTTATAATAATGGGCGCGCAGTGACCTTTCGTCATACGGTGGCAAAATATTTGCAGATAAACTGCTAAGCCTGGCGAAAGGATCAACTATCGGTTGGTCAAAAGCCAGAGAAAGAACAGCTGGGAAACATCAGGAGCGCGCAACTTGAAGGCGTAGAACGATGTTTGTGTGAAATTCGTGACCTGGAATACGTGAGTCCACTAACGCGTGCCTGAACGAACCTACTTTGCACTAGTTTTTCGAGCGAAAATGATGCGGGATGAACGTTCATACAGAACACAGCTGTCGCAGTTCGTATTACGCCAAGTCCTCAAGTTGGGATTCAGGCTCCAAAAGCAGCAGGGACAATCTTAGCCTTTTCGAGCTGAATGGGTATATAGAATCATCGGATACATTAGCTGCTGAGGGAACCGCCAGAGGTCGAGTCTGTATGTGTCTGTACTCTAATGTGCTTTTCAATGGTCGTAAATTGGTGTAAATTTTGGTGCAATATGTCCTAAAGCATCCCACTTCAGGCGCCCGTGCAACGGACCCTTAAGGGTTAAGTAATTACATATCAAAGGAATATCACTATCAATATACACAGTTGATATTACCTGCGAAAATGCAATTGCCCACCAGTGAACCGGGTAAACAAGTTAAATGAACAGTTACTTGTTGTGTACGATTGCGTCCACAAGCTTTAGTCAATCACCTACAAAATCACGTTAGCAGTCGTTTCGAAGGTCAGGTCAACACTGGTTAGCTTCATGGGTCGTCGAGCCATCAGGCCAACCGAAAGTAACATGCCGGTTAGTCATTCGTGTGACTCAACTCAAGCATCTTGAGTGCTATATAGGAAGCTCTTGAATATAGTTTGCCCGGTACTTACATATGACCCTCTACCATGAGTGTTTTTGCAGCAGCATACACAGGGAATTACCGACGCGTTTGTAAAACTGGTAGAGACTATGTGTTCGATTACATTGTTCCTCGTTACCAGAATGGCAACACGAACTCCAGTCCACATGAAGACTTACAATGCTCTAGAGTTGGAGCTTTAACTGTGGTGATCCAAAATGATTGTGTTGGTGTTAGAAAAACAGCAGTCAGCCTATACTGCTGTTCATGTTGTTTCTAGGTGCTTGTAACTGAATCACGTTCCCGAACTGACGGAGTGTTTTAGGGTTATTCTTTATAGCGTTTTCCGGTTCCAGCACCCATTTCGTTTCCTTTTTCTCGAGAATGGGAACATCACCATGTAAGTTTCCATACTGAGCATAGAATGCTTTACTGATTACATCAGGCGACCGATGCCCACGTTGATCAACTTTGAATCGGTAACTTCGTTTAGACATTCCCTATTTATACACGGTAAGGGGAAACAACCTCCTGGCTGAAATTGTAAAGCGATTTGTTTGTCCTTCCGCCTCCAAGCTTCAAGAAATTCAAAAGACATTCATCCGGCGGTTACTGGATGGTTTGATATGGGCTTTTCTGATTACCAATAGATGTGCTGGTCAACGGGTAACTGAACCAAACCTTACTTATTTCCTCAACTGTGTTTTGAATCTCGCTTAGTAACACTCACTCTGTCTGTCCATTATCTGCAAACAGGGGACAGTATGCAGAGACTTCTGTGAAAACATTTGGTGTACCACATGCTACGTATGCCGGCTTCAACGCGACATGAAATATACGGAGATGAAGAATGGGTCGTTAGGATAGCGATGCATGTCAACGAGGAGTTGAACTGAAAAACCTCACGTCCGGAGCCATTGTACAGGCCTTCAAGATTCACCAAACTGTACCTATTTACACGCCGACTGTTTTCGAACACTGGCACCGAACTTTGCACAGAGCAAACACTACTATTGAAGTCTCACTGTACTGCTGGCAACTCCGCCTTATTTTCCTTGATTAGAAAGCTCCGAAATGACCTGATAAGCCACTTATCAGTTGCAACTTTAAAAGTCCCTCAATCCTCGATCGTTCCATTAACATCTAGCCCGTCAACATATGTATGTTTGTCGTCCACTCACCGACTGGACTCGACTCTCAGCGGCCCGGCTCTGGAGCCTGGTCAGAATTTTGATGACCCTGGGTTCGATCCCCTGATGAGTACCTTGGTACAATGTCCCGTCCCTAATCTTAACAAGCAGATATGGAACTGCTTCACAAAGTTGTAAAAGATGCTTTCACATCCCGCCAATGGCCTTAAGATAATCCTACAAACGAGTTGATTACGGCTGCTGTTTAGAGCATTCTCAGTCGGCCGACGCATTTTCCGCGTGATAACTGCCTGTTTCAGTGCTAAATGTACAAACCTTCGAGTACAATCCCTCGATACTCTGTGTTCTGTATCACATCCTTGTATACTTGGCAATTTTCCCTCTCATTTGTTTTCCCACGCAGGATATTGTGAACAGGAGAAATACTGATATCAAAACAAATCGCACCCAGTTAACTATTCCCTGCAGTTCTGTCTCGTCCAACAGGGGGAACATCAAATTTCGCCCATTCTGGTGAACTTGAAACAGTAATTACATCAAGAGGGATAAGTTTGAGTGCTGACCCGGAGCGTGGCCGGGTATAAAAGATAACACTTAAACAAGATGGACGTTTTGCGAACGTTATAAGGTCGTAGAGGAACAAAAACGCGTAGATAAACTCAACAATAAACTTCTGGTCGCTTAAGAAAACAAATTGGATACTAAATCATTGATAAGAGACTAGAAAGCATTTTATAGTTGCATTGTATTATTTTTACGCAAACATGAATGCACTTGACCCACATAAATGAAAGGAGTTAACTGGACATTTGTTATTCCCTCAGCATCAAAAAAGTGTTCGCCGTTTGAATGTATCTGGGCAGACATTCGAAGGCCAGTTCATAAAATTCGAGATAACTGACAAGTGACCATCCGAGTTAGTTTTATTTCACCCTGATTTTCACACAATATACTGTACATAACACGTCAAGATGTACATGGGACCAAATGAGTAAGCAGTCGTCAATTCGCAGCTGGTGTGACGAGTGAATTACATTACAACTCATTCAACTGTGACGTCTTTCAACAAAGGCGAACTAGGCTTCTCTCTGGTCAAGGCAGCTATACTTTTTCACCCGAAAAAAGCCCAAAGCATAATCGTGAGCTTATTCGCTGAGCTGGGCAGCTTATTTTCGAACGTCCCATTACAAGTCAGTGGCATCATCAAAAAGTTGTGGATGGAAGTAATTTTTCTTGAGCGCCCATTGATTGATATATGGCTTACCCACTCAGGTCGATCTTGGCCGAACACTGGTCTTTAGGATGAGCATTCCTACTGGCTTGTTGCTTGACCTGCCTTCTGACTGATGATATCCGGGGAGACTTGACCTCCTCGCCCCCTCCCCGCTACCATCAATTTCTGATCTGGCCTGTCACATCAAAGACATGCCCACGATGGGTAATGCCAAATACGGTGTGAGCTGAGCCGCATGCACAAACACCTGTACGTGTTACATATGGAGCAGTCCCCTTCAGCAGACCACTAGACTCCCAACAAAAACCATCACTATCACTGAAGTGATTCCACTCCAGCAACATAGATGCGGAATCCGTCTCAGGTTCTCAAACATCAACACATCAAGAAAGTACATGGCTAAGTGGAATAAATACGACCTTCCGACACAGTAGAGTTGCATTAAGGATTTTCGGCAACATGAATACTAGTCCAGGTGAAAGGAAGAAGGCCTTCGCTGCGGAGTTATTTAT